AGAACGGTCTACTCTATGTATAGTTGAATCTTTATTAAAATGAGGGTTTCGCGAAATGAATAATGACGTTAATTATCTCTATAAAGCTTTCCTACATCATCTTAGATGCTGTTTTTTTTAAACGATTATATTTTGTAAACAATAAAATGCATAAGGCTCTGACGTGAGATCACATTCGAAGAAATAAAGGATGTAAGAGCCAAGACAGGATGTTTGTGTCTAAATGATTATAATTTTTTAAATTTATTAAACAAGTGCCAGTTAAGGTCGCGACTAAACTTATCCATTGTTATAAAATTATATTTTAATAATGCACAGAGAATATACTTTATAAAGAAGAATGGATGTTTTGTAAATATAAAAGTGTGCTGTAACATTATAGTATTGGCCAGGCTGACCCTCGTTTCAGAAGTCAGCGGCAATTTAATTTCATAAACCGCAACTGTTGCCTCTATTTAGTTCGAATGGGAGTGCGACTAATAGTTATGATCCCTGCGTCAGATTCTTAATCGAGTTCTTCCCCTCTGGCCGAAATTGCAGCCTGCGGTCGACTGTCAATAATATCAGACATGAAAGTTGTCCACGTGACATCGTCATAATATTGTATATTTTAAATATTTCAAAGAATTATAAAAAGAAGCGCGCTTGAAGAAATTTCAGACGGTCCCCTGTTTATTAAGCCACTCCTCTGGCAATTCTTCGACTGTCCTTGCGACACTCATCGTTTCGAAAATCCGCTGGATTAATTTAGACGTCAGACTTTAATCCAAAACCCAGTCTCTCTCTCTCTCTCTCTCTCTCTCTCTCTCTCTCTCTCTCTCTCTCTCTATCTCTCTCTCAGCTCGAGCTGCTTCGCCATGCCGTGGATCTTAGTTTCTCCTTCGATAATTTCGACGGGCGGTCGCATTAACGACATCCCGATGATACGCCGAAGGAGGGGGGTGGGGAGGGGAGCGGGAGTCAATTCAACAGGAGGGGAAGAGCGAGGAGGAGGGACGGTTCAGTGTGCCGCGCGGATGTCTCCAGCATTGTATGCAGATGAAGAAGGCAGGGCGACAATGACTCGGGACGACGGTCGGGGACCTGGGCCCGTTCGTCTTGAACCGAAAGAAATCCATCCGCCACGACAGGGGTGTCGCGGGGCTCGGCGGAGGGCTCGACGGAGGGCGGGGGGGGAGCTGCCTGCTTTGGCTCGTGCTTGGCACTAGCGTGCTTGCCCTCCTCCGGCACCTCCTCCCAGACACGCTTATGTACTACGCGTCCATACATTAACATGTCATCATCGTGTAGAAACCGAGCTGATCGAGGTGAACCTTCTCCTCTCGCCCCCCCCCCTCCCCCTCCTTCCCGCCTCCCCTCGCCGGGCTGCTCGTCCAAGGCTCGCAAGTCGAACGTGCCGTCGTCATCAGACGCGGAGACGTGACGCCCTCCCGTGAAGACTTGCCTCTCGAAAGTCTCCTCTCGCGCGGATTCAGCCGGCCTCTTCTCCGTGGGCGTTTCGTTTGCTCGCGCCGGATATCGCGGGCAATTCGTCACGGAAATTCGTGCCGGGCCGTTTTATAGACGGAATAATTACTTTAAGGCCCTGCGCGCGCCCCTGCCCGTCGGCGTAGTCCTTTTTGCAACGACCAGTCGATTTGTCTGCGGCGAGTCCATCCTCCCTGAGCGCGGTCTCAGCGTCCCGAAATTATACGTCTCTATTCGATGTAATTATTACGAGCTCAGCTTATACGTCCGAATTGGAGGGGATTAAATAAACACGCGATTTACTTCTCTCAGACGAGCAAAAACGGAGCGATCGGTCACTGGGTACCGACGTAAAAATTCACGTGGTCGGGCGTGATGCGAATCACGAGCGCGGCCCGACCTTTTCACATAGCGACGCAAATAAAGGCGCGACAAGAGAAACCGCCGTCGTGCCGGGCGTCGTTTTTAGCGAAACGGAACGGACAGCGGAATCAAACCTTAGAAAATCGTTTACGAGGGAATTTCGGAATCGCGAAGAGAGTTCGGGGCCATTCCAGCCGGTCGATATGACTCTGGGGGTTGTTTGGCAGATACACGTACACACAGGTACGTACCCGACGGCCCTTCCGTGCCAGCTCTCGTAACGGAAAAGAGGTATATAGACCAGGCGTTGGTGGTGGTGGTGGTGGTGGTGGTGGTGGTGATGGTAGCGATGGTGGCAGCGGCGGCGGCGGCGGCGGCGGCGGTGGCGGCGGCGGCGGCGGCGGTGGTGCAGGAAGGGCTGGATTGGTAAACCGGTCACGTAATGCACGGCGATGAATGGACCCGCCGAGTCGAGCCCAAAGCCGGGAATTGGCTACTGGGCATACCACCGACCATCTACCCCACTGCGTCAGCTTTAGCCACCCCACGGCAACGTAAAATTACAAAGAGGTGCTCAAACCTGAGCTATCTCGCGTATCTGCCGTCACGCAAATAGAGACGGTGGAAGTTGCTGCGAAAATTCCGGGGGCGACGCGCGTTCCCTTTTTTTTTTAGGAGGGAAAAAAGACCGGCGCGATACGACGTAATCGATCGATTACACCGTGAAACGTACGGAACCGCGTTAAATAATGAAATAACCCGAGCCTGCGTACGTGCAAATTAAAAATTACAAAGCCGCCGTGGAAATCTAAATTAGATCCTTTTATCGGATTACGATTATTATTGTAATAGTTACCTGATCAATTTGTTTTTTTAGACAAGCGCGAATATAATTTGATTGAATTTAGAAAGAACATTATTATTTGAGCTACAATTTAAATTAGGGCACGCATTGTTGTGCACATTAAGACCACTTGTCTCATTGCAGTGGCTTTAATCATTTCCTAGTAAATATAGAATTGGCATACATAATAGCGCCCGTGTCTCGTATATTTCGTAACAGATTATTTCGGAAAAAGGAAACAAAGAAAAAAATACATAAATAAATAAAACAATACAAAAATAAAATAACATAAATAAAACGATATGCATAAATAAAATAAATAAATAAGTAAATAAAATAATATAAATAAGTAAAAATATAATAATTGTATTAACGCGAAAGCATTTCTATATTCATTAAATTAATTTTTGCCCTTTTAGACGATGTGATCTGCACGATATCAAAATGCAATGAACGAACAATGTATCACACATAATCGCGCAAAGTCAGACATTTGATGTTGAACGTACCACGATTACGAGCCCGACCGCGTCAGCTCCAGTCAGCTTTCCTAAGACTATAAAAAGGCGCTCAAGGCAGATAATCTTGTTTTATTTTTAGACTAAATGTAATAAAATATTCTGCGCGCAGCTCACGATTACGCCTATTCGCGATGATATATTTATCTTTAATTGTTCGTGCAAGAGTAAACTACGTTCATATTAAATTGCACAGCCGTGATGTACAATAAGACATTTTTACTTACGGATTTGGACCACCTATTCGTGAGTGATACGTTCGAAGAGCAGATATTTCGAAAGGGTCACAGGACGACATTACTCGTAATCAGGATTCCATTTGCGGAATTCTCTCGGGCCTGGCTCCTCGTTGTCATACCGTCGAGATCGTCCTTCCAGCTCGGACTTGTCGGCGAGACCGAAGCGCGTACCCCTACGCGGGCACTCGTGGACCCCCCTTATGCAATCTACAGCAAGCCTCTGATCTGCCATAAAGTCATTTCATAACCCATCCCGAGGGTTAAGTACCCCTCGAGTCCCAAATCCCGAGTTAAGCGCGAACCCACCGAGAGCTTCAAACTTTCACGACACGATCTCTGGTCTCTTTCCTTCCTCATTTCCCCGTCCGCCTTTCGCCTTCCTCCGTGTTATCTTTTGACAATTAAAGCTACAAAGCTGATACTCACTGAAAAGTTGCTTGAGGAGCGGCGCGGTCGGTTATTTCTGCGACTCTCGCGGCAAGCCGCGGTACCCTGATAAGTTCTCTTTAACTTATCTCGAAATGAGCAAGTACTAATACACTACAAAAATTAAATTTTTCCGTGTCATTATTAAAAATTTAATTAGAGCATGGATGACCTTTCACGTTTGAGCTGTATGCCTACTGTCGAGATAAAACTTGTGATAAAAATACCAATTCTCCAAGAAATTGACGTATTCCCTGTCTGCGAATAATACGACGTATTAATTTTACGATTCGACGGATAGCAGCTGAGATTTTCATCTACGATTAATCTCGACACTGACGTCCAATACTATTACGTGAAGCCGAAGCTGAACAAGACCGTGCATAAATTACAGGCTGTCTCGTAACGCGTTCGCGACGCAACGGGTTCCCGGCAGCCCGAGGAGAAGAAAAAACGCGGTGACACTTGCGTCGGAATTAAAAAGTAAAAGCTCGTTATAAATCAAACGTCTTGTCAGCGGGTGTGGCGGCTGGCCTTTAAGCTGCCGCGGGGGGAGAAAGGGGTACGGTGGCGGTCGGGGTGAAGGCGAAAACCCTTTCGTTAATTGCGCATCGCAGATGCCGGGCAATAGCGGGCGCTCTTTACGAGCCACTCTGCCCTGCCGGTGCACGGCGAACGACCGTGGAAAAAAGCCGAGCTTCTTTGTAGCCGAGGAAAAGTTCGGGCCGTAAGCTCCGAAAGTGCCTTTAAAAGCGATTACGACCGTGCCTCGTAATCGTAACACGATCCGTTTACCGCGCGGAGGGAGGAAGGGGAATTAGACGTGTTCGACAAATTTTTCGCGAGGCGCGTAGTTCAACGCCAAATTCCGAACGACCTCGGAAGACTAATTAAACGGTGAGCCGCGTGTTCGATGGTTCGAGCGAGACTTTGTCCTCGCGTCGCAGCGCCGAGGTAATCTTGTCACGACTTTGACATTTTTCCTGGGTTGCTTTTGAACTCTGTTAATTTGGCGATCCGATTAACGTTAGAGATCCAGTCGGATCCGAATCGAGACTCGCTCGATCAGCAGAACTTGTGCATTCATCCCTTTACAGTACTTGGGATGTGGTGATTTCGCGAAAAAGAAAGCGAGGCGATAAATATACATAAAATAATGTATTTATTATAATACCCCACTTCGCTACAGCGATTAACATTGATTTAACACAACTTATACCGTAATTCTATATAATTATGTATTTCCACACACTGACACGATGCCTGGCTGGGACTGGATTCTGGAACGATTGCTTGCAGGAGGACGATGCGAGACAACTCTGTAAGCTAAAACACAAAGTCAAATATTCTTATTACGGGGGTGCTCACGAGTGGCCGGCGCACAATTGTTTTCGTGACAAATTCACGCGATGCCTGAAGACCGAAGCAGACTAGCAATTGCTGACTCGCATTGAATTGGAATTGGCGATTGACGATTGCCCTTAGCCAATGAGAGCAAAGCAGCCAGTCAATCGGCTCTCATTGGCTAGAAGACAATCGCCAATCGCCAATTCCAGTCCAATTCGAGTTAGCAGTTGCTAGTCTAATTCAGCCTTTCACACATGCTTTCCGTAAGACGCAACAGTGAGATCTCGACCAATCGCGTTACTCGATTCGGCCGTCTATAACCGAATCGAGCAACGCGATTGGTCGACATTTAGCTGTTGCGTCTTGCGGAAAGCATGTGTGAAAGCACATCGTACCCTCGGTACATAAGTACGGATTCGTTAATATTTCTGCAGCGGTGACGCTTTAACTCATTACTGTCCCCGCGGCACGACGCGGGGGAGACATGCAAATAAAAAGCGCGCAAGATCGAGCAGTTAGGGGGCCGAGATGTCGTCTTCGGGGGGATCCACGGAAGAGTCGGTGGATATCTAAAGCGAGATCTCTTCTTCGCAGAGGAGGCTGCTGGCGGCTGGTGGAGAGAGAAGCTGGAGGAACCCTGGAGGAACGTTATTAATTGGCTACACGATAAAACAGTGTTAGTCCCCATTCGCTGTCCTTCGGCCGGACCCCCCCTGGCTTCCTCTTAAGATATGGGGCCACGCGACTTCCTCGCGCGCATGTGCGCGCGTGTACGTGCGTGCGTGTATCGCCAAGTTGGAGGTCCCGTGAGAATTACGAGGAAAAAGGAATCCCGAGGGCGCCGTGCGCGCGACGGACAACTCGTTTCCGGCGAAATTCCTCGCGCTGCAAGAAACACGACACGCACGATCTTCTTGTACCCCCTCCGACAGAAATAATGTTCGTGCATCGAATTGCGTCTAAAAATGGCTCACTATTTAATCGGACACTCGGACACGATCTCCTTCGGAAAATTACCCCTCACCGAAGCTACGAAGAGTTTTTCGTGGGAATATTTTTATATTGTGTACGTGCCGTAATTACGGATAGTATAGCGGGCGACTTTATCTCGGAGGTAAACTGTTGCGTAAGAGGTTTATTATTAATTACAATTAATTTTTTGTACTGTTTAAGACTCTCTCATGTCATGACACGTCATAATCTTCGAGTTGCAGCGCGTATGCAACGCAATTACCACACCAGACGATAATTATCGAATGGAAACGCGTATCACGATTCGCATGCGCACAAATTAACATTATTAAGCGCTAATTAAAAAGCTACTGGATATGGATCACTCTCGATGTAAGAAGTCCTTGATTTGATATAATCCATTTACAGTCGGCAGTACGATGATAATTACTCCGCATATGTGTGAATATTTCTACGATGATAAATGCAAGATAATAACAACAAAATAATGCGAGAATACACTCTTTTTTCAAATTTTATTTTTTATTTTTATTCGTTTAGCAAAACGCTCTTGATCGCCGCGTTTAATGTCTCCGTGTGTTAAAATCTCATTTACATTCAATCTTATTCCCCAATCGTTAAATATCATTAAAAAAAATAGCGCAACTCGAATTTATAAAGAAGAGTCTGTCGTTAGGAAAGAGAGCATGCCTAAACGCGCGTTTAGGTATTACAATGTACACGCGTTACGCAGCTCGCATCTCTCCCTCTCTCGGCTCATCCATCGAGATTATTCTCTCCTTCTATTAATGTGCCATTAATTAAGGAGCGCGTGGAAAACGAGCGACGCGAAACGCGAGAGGTACCGTAGATGCGAGCGGCGATATGTACGGTCTAGTTCGATTTTAACGCGGAAAATGGAAGAATAGTACGCCGCGGCAGCAGGGGAATATATTCAAGATCCGCCGTTCTCTTATCCGCTTGTATCTTTCCGCCCCTTATAGTCCTCCTTCTCTATCTGTCGTCCCCATTGATTTTTTCCTGTTCTCGGCTCGCAACGCGGCTTCCTTTCTCTCTTTCTCCTCTTTCCACTGTCCTATCCTGCTCTTCCTTTTACATCGACAGTTCCTCGCCTTCACCCGTTATACACACACACCCGTTGTCGATAGGGTACATATATCGCATGCGTTTGGTGCACCTATCGTTTCTCCTCCTCTCCACCTCTATTTCTCTACCTCTTCCTCTCCCTCTCTTTCTCTCACCTTCCCCCGTTCTTTTTTATTTCCTTTATATCGGTGCGTGCATCCGTCCACCGTTGTTGTTGCTGTTGTTGTCCCTCCCGCGGATGAGGGAGCGAGCATGAGGGCTATAGGCCATAAGGGCTAACAAGGCGATTACTCATGCCTCCCATAAGAAGAAGTTACAAGCGGCTTCGAAGGTTTATTGCGGCAAATGGCGAAATTTGTACCTTGCTAACGATTGGCCGTCCTTTTTGCTTCTGTCACCCTCCCCCTCCGC